GAAATTAAGCATACACTGATATTATTATACAGAGATCCAACAGCAGTCTAGAGGATCACAAGAATCAAGTCAAAGATTTGAAATATGAAGACGCAAAAGACACCCAACTGGAAAAGCAAAAAAAAAAAAAAGGATCCAAAAATATGAAGATAGTGTAAGAAGCCTCTGGGACAACTTCAAGCGTACCAACATCTGAATTATGGGGGTGCCAGAAGAAGAGAGAGAGCAAGATATTGAAAACCTATTTGAAGAAATAATGATGGAAAACTTTCCCTACCTGGTGAAAGAAGTAGACTTACAAGTCCAGGAAGCGCAGAGAACCCCAAACAAGAGGAATCCAAAGAGGACCACACCAAGAACACGTCATAATTAAAATGCCAAGGGCAAAAGACAAAGAGAGAATCTTAAAAGCAGCAAGAGAAAAACAGTTCCCTACAAGGGAGTACCCATATGACTGTCAGCTGATTTCTTAACAGAAACTATGCAGACAAAAAATATACAAAGTGATGAATAGCAAGAACCTACAACCAAGATTACTCTACCCAGCAAAGCTATGATTTAGAATTGAAGGTCAGATAAAGAGCTTCACAGACAAAAAGCTAAAGGAGTTCATCACCACCAAACCAGTATTATATGAAATGCTGAAGGGCATTCTCTAAGAAGAGGAAGAAGTAGAAAAAGGTAAAGATAAAAAATTATGAACAACAAATTGACAACAAATATGTATCTAGCAACAAGTGAACCTAAAAATCAAATGAATAAAAAACCTGAAGAACAGAACAGACTGGTGAATGTAACAGAATCAGGGGCATAGAAAGGGAGCAGACTGACAATTCTAGGGGGGAAGGGGTTGTAGAGGGTGTGGGAAGAGATTGGACAAAGAGCTTACACCTATGGGCAAGGTCAGTGCTGGGGGGAGGGGGGGGAAGGCCTGGAATGGGGTGGAAAACGGGTGGAGAGGAGCTATGAGGGGAAAAAAGAGGAACATCTGTAATAATCTGAACAATAAAGATTAAAAAAAAGAGAGAATTATAGATCTCAATAAGTAAAACTTCAGCATCAGGTTTATATTATTACTAGTGGCCCAGTGCACGAAATTCGTGCACGGAGGGGTGGGGGTGTCCCTCAGCCTGGTCTGCACCCTCTCCAATTTGGGACCCCTCTCGGGATGTCCGACTATCGGTTTAGGCCTGAGGATCGGGCCTAAACTGGCAGTCGGACATCCCTCTCGCAATCTGGATTGCTGGCTCCTAACCGCTCACCTGCCTGCCTGCCTGATTGCTCCTAACCACTCTGCTGCTGGCCTGCTCGTCTCCAACTGCCACCCCTGCCAGCCTGCTTGCCCCCAACTGCCACCCCTGCTGGCCTGCTTGCCCCCAACTGCCCTCCCTTTTGACCTGATTGCCCCTAACTGCCTCCCCTGCCAGCCAGCTCGCCCCCAACTGCTTCCCCCCACCGACCTGATCGCCCCCAACTGCCCCCTGTCGGCCTTCTCGCCCCCCCACCTGCCCCCCGTACTGACCTGCTCCCCTCCAACTGCCCCCAACAGCCTGCTCACCCCCAACTGCCCCCCCACCAGCCTGCTCGCCCCAACTGCCCCCCGTGCCAGCCTGATCACCCACAACTACCGTCCTGTGCTGACCTGCTTGCCTCCAACTGCTCCCCCCCCGTGCTGACCTGATCGCCCCCAACTGCCCTCCCCTGCCAGCCAGATTGTCCCTAACTGCCTCTGCCTCGGCCCCACCACCATGGCTTTGTCTGGAAGGTCTCCCGGAAGGCCTCCCAGTCTAATTAGCATATTACTCTTTTATTAGTATAGATTAATATTTTAAAAATATATTTTATTGATTTTTTTTACAGAGAGGGAGAGGGATAGAGAGTTAGAAACATCAATCAGCTGCCTTTTGCACACTCCCTACTGGGTATGTGCCCGCAATCAAGGTATATGCCCTTGGCCGGAATTGAACCTGGGACCCTTCAGTCCTCAGGCCGATGCTCTATCCACTGAGCCAAACCGGCTGGGGCTAGATTATTATTTTAAATCCTCACCTGAGGATATGTTTTCCATTGATTCTAGAAAGAGAGGAAGGGAGAGAAACATTGATGGGAGAGAGAAACATTGATCAGTTGCCTCACACTTACCCTGACTGGGGATCAAACTCCCAACCTGGATATGAGCCCTGATTGGGAATCAAACCCATAACTCTTCGATGTACAGGATGACGCTCTAACCACTGAACAACACTGGCCAGGGGAGCATCAGGTTTATTTTAATAAAGACTATTAACAATATCATTAGTCCTTTGAATTTGGTAAATAAGTAAAAAATTTGTAAATGTAAATAATTTTTAAAAATCATTATGCTATTTGCCGAAACCGGTTTGGCTCAGTGGATAGAGCGTCGGCCTGCGGACTGAAAGGTCCCAGGTTCGATTCCGGTCAAGGGCATGTACCTGGGTTGCGGGCATATCCCCAGTAGGAGATGTGCAGGAGGCAGCTGATCGATGTTTCTCTCTCATTGATGTTTCTAACTCTCTATCTCTCTCCCTTCCTCTCTGTAAAAAATCAATAAAATATATATTTTAAAAAAAAATCATTATGCTATTAGAAAAATATATTATCAATTTCGTTGATTCTTTCAGAGAGGAAGGGAGAGGGATAGAGAGACAGTAACACTGATTGGCTGCCTCCTGCACGCCTCCCATTGGGAATTAGCCCACAACTTGGGCATATGCCCTGAAAGGGAAATGAACTGGCAACCTCTTGGTTCATGGGTCAACACTCAATCACTGAGCCACGACCACACCAGCCAGGCTGATATCACCAATTTTAAAAGGATTCATGGAACATTTTTTCCAAAAACATTTTATTATGAAAATTTTTAAACACAGAAAAATGTATGAAATTTTATAAAATTGTGACAAGAATTGGCAATGTGTTCTTTTGCATATTAGTAGTATCCCCTCTTGATTATTTGAAGGTGGATATGATTTTGACAAAGAGATTAAATAATTTAGAATACTTTTTGGTGAATAATGCAGGTAATCACATTGGGGTAACACAAATGGGGGCAGCAGGTTACTTCTCTGACCCTCAGTTTTCTCATCTGAAGGCAGCTTGAAAAGAAGTAGTAGAAAACACATTTTGATCAAGCATTTAGCCTCTCCAAGTCACTACTCCAGAGGATAATTATCTAGTTAGAGTGACTTAAAAACAACTTGCATTATTTTATCTATTTAAAGCAAGCATGTCAAACTCAGGCTAACAGCCTAACAGGAGTCAATTAAACAAGGTTTAAGCTTATGTGGGCCACAAAAAAAAAAAAAGCTTCAATTTTCATAGAAACATAGGTTTATTTTGATAGAGACATGCTGAATACAAAGGGCTGAAATGAATGAGTAGTCGTTAACATAAAATAATAGAACATTTTAATAAAAATTAATTAATATTTTTTCTTGAACATTAACTTACCAGGCACTGAATAACTGCACAAATTAATAAGCATAACGCAAATAAACCTATTTTTCTTGTTCTCCAAAAGCGAAATATTTCCTGTTGCACACACCAAGCAAGTCAGTCCAAGACTAATGATGTGGCAATCAGCTACTAAAATCTTCGCTGCTAGTATTAGTGCAGAGAAATGCTGCGCCTGCGTGTAAGGCACGTAAGGAAAATGAATGCAACACAATTATAGTAATCAGTCATTAGCGAATGTTGTAGTTCATTATTAATAATTATATATAACAGGATATTGTAAAAATTAAGTTACGTAATTTTTATTAAAATGTTTCTTACATACTGTTATATTGGCAGGGCCCCAAAAATATTCATTGTGGGCTGCATGCTGCCCATGAGTTTGACATGCTTGATTTAAAGCATTTGCCACAGTGCTTTATTATACAACTAGTGGCCTGGTACACAAATTAGTGCTCATTGGAAGGAAATTAGTTAGAACAACTATTTTAATATTGCTATTTGCCCTTTCTCTATAATAGAAGTGTCAACCAAATTCATGATCAACAATGACAGATGGAAACACACGCGTGTGATTGGTGCCAGTGAGAGCTTTACATGTATTGCTATGCGCGAGTCAACTTAGCCTTTTATAGATATAGAATATAGTTACTTAATTAGACCTGCTTTTTGATTTATCTAAACTTTTTCCAGCCCAGTGAAGCACCCCAACTTCTCTTTCAGGTCATTGTCAGCAACACAGCAGTAAACATCAACACGAAGCAGATTATTATTGTAGATGAGGCAGGGAGAATAAAGGGTAAAATATTTAACTGCATCAATGTTTGACTATATTCTGCGCAGTGAGAAAACCTGAAGTAATTTTCAAGGTCCACCATTTCTTACTTCTTTTCAGTCGGGTCAAGTTTCTAAGCTTTCTAAATCTCCGTTTTCCGGCTAAATAATAGATAATACAATTCCACTGAGTCTTCTATCTACTTACTCCAGGACTTCTGTGAGGATCAAATGAGATGAGGCACGGGAAAACACTTCACAGACATTTGGTTACAGTTGAAATGTTTCCACCTGGCTATAAAGCAAGTCATGTTCCTGGAATGAAGAAACTGCAAGGAGCTAATCGTCGCTAAGGAGAAGAAGCCGGGCGCTGCTACGTGACATCGTTACCCAGACGAACACTTAGCATATTAGCCTTTTATATAGATAGATAGGTAATAAGCATTCAATCAATACTGTTAACTGCTATCATTAGGAATCTGGCGAAGTTAAAACTTTAGTTAACATATATTCTTTTGATTTACAAGACTAGTTGTACATATACTTAAATATATATTTAAATGGAATATGCTCATATATATTTAATGTATTAAATTTAATATGCTAAAGATAATCATTAAATTGAAACTAGAAAGAAATGTTAGCACTGTCATAATCTCTAAAATTGCTGGGGAAAGTTGAACAAATAGAAGTTTAACAAGTTCAGTGAAGGAAGTGGCTGTGGCGGTGGGGCCCCAGGCCCAGGCCCTGGGCCAGGTGCCCCCATGGCAGGCTCGGAAGAGCTGGGGCTCCGGAAGGGCACGCTGAGGGTCCTAGCTGCCTTCCTTAAGCGGGGTGAGGCTGCTGGGTCCCCCATTCCAACCACACCCAGGAGCCCTGCCCAGGAGGAGCCAACAGACTTCCTGAGCCACCTTCGAAGATGCTTTCCTTGTTCTTTGGGTCGAGGAGCAGTTCCCCTTGAGTCCCCTCGGCCTTGCTCCCTGCCCCTTCGCCCCTGCTATGGTTCGCAGCCTGGTCCAGCGACTCCAGACTTCTATGCCCTCATGGCCCAGCGGCTGGAACAGCTGGTCCAAGAGCAACTGAGATCCCCACGGAGCCCAGAGTTACAGGGTCCCCCACCCACCGAAAAGGAAGCCCTGCTGCGGAGGCTGGTGGCCTTGCTGGAGGAGGAGGCAGAAGTCATCAACCAGAAGCTGGCCTCGGACCCTGCCCTGCGCCGCAAGCTGGCCCACCTCTCTGCTGGCTCCTTCGCCCGCCTAGTGGAGCTGTTCTCCAGCCGGGAGGGCAGCCCTTGCCCCAACCGTGCACGCCCCTCCTTGCAGTGCCCAGGGCCCCCGCCATCTTCCCCGGAGCCCCTGGCCCGCCTGGCCCTGGCCATGGAGCTGAACTGGCGCGTGGCCTGGTTGGGGGGCACCCTGACTGGACTCAGCGTAGAGCACGTGCACAGCTTCACGCCCTGGATCCAGGCCCAGGGGGGCTGGGAGGGCATCCTGGCCAGCTTCCCCATGGACTTGAACTTGCCCCTGGACTAGCTCTTCCTCAGCAGCTGTTACAAGATTGGCCTTCAGGCGCCAGGGCCCCTTGCATGCTTCTCGAGCCTTCCTCTTCTGCTCAGGGCTGTGAGTGGTGGCTGCCCACCCTGCTTTTGCCAAAAAGAAATGGTTCAAATTTTTTTCATATTAAAAAACTTGTTCAAAGGTTGAAAATAAAATAAAATAAAATTGTTGTGCAGCTTTGTAAGGGATCTTGAACTTTAACACATATAGTACCTATTGAAATTTACCTTAGTTCCCTTGACAGGCTGGAAGAATTCAAAGAGACTACAGCCTTGAGCAATTTAGAGAAAACGAAGGAGTATAGAAGTCTTCTTTTTTACTAAATTATCCCAAAGTGACTTTGTTACAAGCTTATTTATCTTACCCTTCCTTGGCATGCATTATCTATATGTATGCTTTAAATATATATATTTAAATGTATATACCATTATTGCCATCTAGGAGCAGGGATGCCTATAATGTGAGTGTAGAAAATGTTGTGTGGCACAGGAAAAGAGCGTAGACTTGGAATCAGACATATCTGCATTTGAACCAGGATTCTACCATTTATTAGCCGTGTAACCCTTAACAAGTTTCGTTATCTGTATATAAATGGGATAATAATAGCTTTCTTATATAGTTTTTTGAGAAAATTTAAGAAAAACATATAATGTAACTGGCATATAGTAAGCAATCAATAAATGATATTATTGTCATATTTTCATTCTACAGTACTTTATAGTTGTAAAAAAATTATATTTCCTACTGTAAGATTTTATAAACCCTATATAGAAATGTATTTTATGTCTTTCTTTAAAAAAAAATATACTGAGTTTAAGACAGAGAGAGAAAGAAAGAGAAAAAGAAAACTGATGTGTTGTTCCACTTACTTATGCATTCATTAGTTGCTTCTTGTATGTGCCCTGACCAGGGATTGAATCCCCAACCTTGGCATATCAGGAAGACACTCTAACTAACTGAGCTACCTGGCCAGGACCTAAAGGTATTATATCTCTTCAACTTAAACCTTAACCAGAAGTAAGAAATATACATAACCAGAATCTCACAGATGAGACTTCCCACTTTATTTTTAGAATTTGTTTTTTAAGACAGAAGTACTATGATTTCCCATTAGCTATGATTTCCCATTTCAAAGGTCAAAAGCAGAAACAGTGTTTCTATAATAGTATTTATTGATCCTCCCACTGCCAAATCAAGATGTAAGGTGTGTTTTTTATTGATTCTCCCACTGCCAAATAAAGATGTAAGGCACATTTTTTATAGAATAAAGAGAAGGAGAAGGAGGAGGAGGAGGAAGAGGAGGAGGAGGAGGAGGAAGGGAGAAAAAAAAGCAATTTGCCCAGATTAAAAAAGAAAAATGCTTATTCCAAATTACAGAAAAGTGGCAGGGTAGGCAAAAATAAATAAAATTATTTTCCTGGAATTGGGCTCATCTGGCCTTTGCTGTTATTTCTAAGAAAATAATTAAATGACCACAGTAGCACTTCAAAACCCAGTGCCAATTAACAGCACAGATTTTTGTTTTCTCTGACTGTATTATTTTTTTACCATGAAAGGCCATGGTCTGAAGCAGTCGATCAGCCACTTCCTGTGGGAATACTCCAGGTTCTTGCAAACACAATGTTCCATCTTGTCTTGCTGAACAGAACTTCTCAAGATGTGTAGTCAGGAAATTCAAGCAGATATCAAGTAAGGAATAGGGAGATGCCTCCTCCTTGGAGCCCAGGATGAAACATAAAGGAAACACAAAAGCCAACAAGTTAGTTTCCAGAAAAGTAAAGAACAAAACATGCATTTCCACATTCAACAAGTATTTTTACTCAGTGTGCTACTTTTGTAACTATTTATCTGTTGTAACTAGCTATTTATTAATTATAGGAAAGAAGCCAAGGGAGAAGCCAGACATTATAGGCATGTCATTTGGCCATCTTCATCAGGAAACTGCAAAATCACACTCCCCAGAGAACCACCAGCCCATTTCCTGCAGATTGCTGGGAGAAGGGACTGGAGAAAGGGGAGGATGGACTCATGCACAGGGAAGTTGAGATGACATAGGGAAGGTACTTGCTGTCAGTCAAACTTGAGAACAGAAATCAATAGCTAAAAGGGACGGAGCCAATGCAAGCCTGTGACAATTTGGCAATATATAATCCCCCAAACAAAGGACTCTGCTCTCTCTTGGCTCTTGGAGCTTTTGGGTTGGGGCTCTTTTGGCTCTCTGGTTCCTTTGGCTTTGCTCCTGCCCATGTTTCCTCCATAACCATGTGACCTGTGGGCCCACACACAATGGACTAATGGACTGCAGCAAGGAACACAATCTAAGCTAGCTTGATGCTGGTCTGGACACTGCTCCAATATGGAGGGAAATTCTGGACACTAGCTTTGCTGAAGCTATGGCTATACTTCTTCCTTGGGGGACGAAGGGAAATGGGACCGCGGAAACTCAGGGGTTTGATTTCACAGAAATAAAACTTTCTACAATATCCCATCTTCCCATGTGAGTCTCAGAAAATTCCTTTTCTCTGGATATTGCAAGAAGCCCACTCCCAAGAGCAACAGGTGGTGCACTGATAACAAGTGCACCATATGCTAGATACTTTTTAAGGCAATATAACATGTGACCATATTCTTAAGAAGTAGGAGAAGAGTACATTTAAACAAAGATTTACATAAAGCCTATTAAATACTATAATAGCAGGCATATTGGGTAGTGTGTACCAGGTGTACCGGTTAATAATGCGGATTTTTTTCCAATAGATGGAGTTACACATAAGTTGATATATATGCGATTTGATATGTATGCTATTTTGTTGTATTGACAACAAGCTTCAAAACTTCATATGTCAAATTTTCTGAAGGTGTTAATATCATAGATATTTTTATGCTTAAAAATATCGAATTTCGTGCCAAAAAAAAAGAGCATTTGTAGGAAGTTTTAATTCATTACTTTTATTTTTGAAAAAAAGTGCTGCTGAATACTTCGGGAAGCTTATGGTGAACATGCTCCATTTCAAGATACTTGTGAACGCTGGTTTAAACGCTTTAAAAGTGATAATTTCAATGTGAAGACAAAGAAGGTCCAGGTCAACCAAAAAAGTTTGAAGACCAACAATTACAAGCATATTGAATGAAGATGCATGTCAAATTCAAAAACAACTTGCAGAAAGATTAAATGTTACTCAGCCAACAATTTCCGATCGTTGACAAGCAATGGGAAAGATTTTAAAGGAAGGAAAATGGGTGCCACATCAACTGAACGAAAGACAAATGGAAAATCGAAAAGTCATCAGTAAAATGTCGCTTCAACGGCATGAAAGAAAGTCTTTTTTGCATCTAATTGTGACTGGTGATGAAAAGTGGATTTATTTTGAGAATCCCAAATGCACAAAATCATGGGTTGATCCAGGTCAACCATCAATAGCGACAGAAAGGCCAAATCGCTTCAGAAAGATGACAATGCTTTGCGTTTGGTGGGATCAGGAAGCTGTGGTGTATTATAAACTTCTAAAACCAGGTAAAACCATTAATACTGATCGCTACCGACAACAAATAATCAATTTGAATCACACTTTGGTCGTAAAACGACCAGAATGGGCCAGAAGACAAGGCAAAGTAATTTTGCTTCATGATGACACACCATCACACACTTCAAAACCAGTTAAAGACATGTTAAAAGATTTTGCCTGGGAAGTATTAACCCACCCGCTGTATTCACCAGATCTTGCTCCTTCAGATTACCACTTGTTCTGATTGATGGCACACGCACTTTCTGAGCAGCACTTCAAAACGTACAAAGAAAATTGGGTCTCTGAATGGTTTGCCTCAAAACAAGAAAAGTTCTATTGGGACAGTATCCACAAATTACCTGAAAGGTGGGGGAAATGTGTAGCTAGTGATGGACATTACTTTGAATAAAGCACTTTAGATGTTTCTCTTGAAATTATCGTGTTTTCTTTGATTATAAAATCCGCATTGTTAACCTATAAACCTAGTAAGCACGAAGCAGGGAGCCTCAATAAGTCAAGAATGGTCAGGAACGACCTCAGGAGCAAAGAAGATTGATCTTCCTAAATTATTACCAGGACCCCTCCTCTGCTCAAACCTTCAATGGCCTCCCATGGGCCTGAAGAAAAAAAAAATCTGAGATTGTTAGACTGATGCTTGAGGTCTAAAACCTAGCCTCCATGGACACAGACAATAGGGTAGTAAAAGACCTGGATCTGGGGGGCAGGGGAAGACTGGAGGGGGGTCAATAAGGGGAAAAAGGGAACATATGTAATACTTTCAATAATAAAGATTAAAAAAAAAACACCTAGCTTCAATTTACTTTCCAACTTGATTTCCCACAAAATCCCCATCCCAATCTATAGTTCAAATATGATAAGTTTATCTGGATTAAAAAAAAAAATTGCTATAGGTGCTGGCTTTCTCAAAAAAGAAAAAGGTTAACCCAGTTATTCCAGTCTGAGAAATAAAGAACTAATCAAATAAGCACAAAAATTTAAGTGTAAGGGTTTAATTACAGAAATAAACACTGTAAACAATGTCTCCTGAAACAATATTATAACTAGTGGCCTGGTGCATGATTTCATGCACATTGAAAGGAAATTAATTTGAAGAAATATTTTAATATCGCTATTCGCCCTTTCTCTATAATAGAAGTGTCAACCAAATTCATGATCAACAATGACAGATGGAAACACACGCGTGTGATTGGTGCCAGTGAGAGCTTTACATGTATTGCTATGCGCGAGTCAACTTAGCCTTTTATAGATATAGAATATAGTTCTTAATTAGACCTGCTTTCTGATTTATCTAAACTTTTTCCAGCCCAGTGAAGCACCCCAACTTCTCTTTCAGGTCATTGTCAGCAACACAGCAGTAAACATCAACACGAAGCAGATTATTATTGTAGATGAGGCAGGGAGAATAAAGGGTAAAATATTTAACTGCATCAATGTTTGACTATATTCTGCACAGTGAGAAGCCTGAAGTCATTTTCAAGGTCCACCATTTCTTACTTCTTTTCAGTCGGGTCAAGATTCTAAGCTTTCTAAATCTCCATTTTCCGGCTAATGAAAAGAAAATACAATTCCACTGAGTCTCCTATCTACCTACTCCAGGACTTCTGTGAGGATCAAATGAGATGAGGCATGGGAAAACGCTTCACAGACATTTGGTTACAGTGTGAAATGTTTGCACCTGGCTATAAAGCAAGTTGTGTTCCTGGAATGAAGAAACTGCAAGGAGGCTAGTCGTCGCTAGGGAGAGGAAGCCAGGCATTGCTACGTGATGTCATTACCCACACAGACACTTAGCATATTAGCCTTTTACACTGAGTGGCCAGATTATTATGACCACCTGATGTTTGTAGGCAAATTAGCTATAATTTCATGCTGAAGTTGCTAGAGGGCCAGATCATTATAAACGTCTGAACAGCAAACATACCTAAGTATCGTTGCTGATCAAGTTCATCCTATCATGTTGATGGTGTATCCCAGTGGTGATGGCTTCTTCCAACAAGACAATGCGCCATGCCACGGTGCTCATATTGTGCAGGAGTGGTTTCAAGAACATGAGGGAGACTTTACCTTGCTTAGGTGGCCCCCACAATCACCAGATCTCAATCCAATTGAGCATTTGTGGGACGAATTTAAAAGAGCCATCAGGCAGCTGGTTCCACAACCATCAAATCTCACAGAACTGGACAGTGCTATTCATCAGGCATGGTGTCAGAGTCCTCGCATCACCTTTCAACATCTCGTGGAGTCCATGCCAAGAAGAATCGCCACACTATTGAAGGCAAAAGGTGGACTAACGAAGTACTGATGGGGTAGTCATAATAATCTGGCCGGTCATAATAATCTGGCCACTCAGTGTATATATAGACATTATAGTAGCTACCATCCATTAGGTGCCTTCAATATGACTGTGTTGAGTGTTTTACATGCATTACCTATTATTTCACTTAATCCTCATCCCAATTTTACAAATTAGTAAAGCATTATCTTCATTTTTGTATAACTGAAAACCAGTTCAGAAAAGTAACACCTTTCTCAGCATTTCACACAGTGTAAGTGACAAAGTATGGCTTCAAATTAAAAACTGACTCAGGAGTACAGCCCTTAACCACATATTACATGTGACATTTTAATCACTGAATATGCAGCCATTAAAAATTATAGTTTAAAGATATATTAATCACATAGAAGGATGCTTATAATACAGGATAAGGTATAAAAAGTTTTATAGAACTTCCTTAACCGGATAAAGGTCACCTATGACAAACCCAGTTTGTATCATAATTCATGTTGAAAGTCTGAATATTTTCCCAAAATCAGGAATAAGACAAAGATGTTTCTCTTACCACTTCCATTCAACTTTATACTGAAGGTCCTAAAATTATGCAAGAAAAGGAAATAATAAGCATACAGATTGGAAAGGAAAAGTAAAACTATCTCTATTTGTAGGTGACATAGTTTTGTATAAAGAAAATCCTAAGGAGCTCATAATACAAAAAACAAAAACCCACACCTATCAGAACAACAAAATAAGTGCAGCAAGGTTGTAGGATAAAAGATCAATGTAAAAATATCTATCATATTTCTATATACTTACAATGAATAATCTGAAAATGAAATTAAGAAAACAGTTCCATTTACAATACCATTAAGAGTAAAATACTTAGGATGAAGATAAGAGTCCTACCTCACA